TTGCTTGAATCTGGGAGAAAAATGTTGCAGTGAGCTGAGATCGTGCCACTGGGTGACAGTGAGACTTGATCTCAATCAATCAATCAATCAGTCTTGAAAGCCTAAGGTATAGAACTTGGCCTTTCAGCTTTTATGTTAATTACAGGGAGGGAAAGGCCACATCATTTAACTCCTACCAAGTTGTCACTGTACACAGTGTATTCATAGCTGCAACTTAGTAGAAGCTTGCAACTCATTTCTTCTGTGTTCTTACTCCTGGCTTTTGGCTGCCTGGTTTGCTATTCTAGAAACAGGTCCGCGTTTCGATATTTAGCCTAGTTGGAGTACAGAGAAGCCTGGGGTGCTGTCAGTGTCCTTTTGGTTTTCTCAGGGTCTGTTGCAGCCAGACCAAGTCCTTGTCAAACTTCCTGCCATTCTGCAGAGGTTTAACAAGGTAAAGGAAAGAGTGAAGGATTCCAGAAGTAGATTTCCTACTTTCTACGAGTGGAGTTGGATAATTGGTTAGGTTAGTGATTTTCCAGAAAGCTCCCATTTTTTTCAATTCTTTGTAATTAAAAAAATTTTTTTCATTAATTTCTTTTCTTTTTTTTTTTTTTTTTGGTGGAGCATGATTGTGCATAGTCCTAGCTATTCAGGAGGCTGAGGTGGGAGGATTGCCTGAGCCTGGGAGGTTGAGGCTGCAGTGAGCTGTGATCTTTTTCCAGGAAGCTCACAAACATTTAAAAAAATTTTTGTAATTAAAAGATTTTTTGCATTAAAAAAGTTTTTTTATTAGCTGGGCATGATTGCGGACGCCTATAATCCCAGCTGCTCAGGAGGCTGAGGTGGGAGGGATTGGTTGAGCCTGGAAGGTTGAGGCTGCGGTGAGCTGTGATATCACCAGTGCACTCCAGCCTGGGTGACACAGTGAGACCTTGACTAAAAAAGTTTAAAAAAAAAAAAATGAGATGGGATCTCACTTTGTGGACCAGGCTGGTCTCAAACTCCTGGACTCAAGCCATCCTCCTGCCTTGGCCTCCCAGAGTGCTGGGATTACAGGTGTGAGCCATTGTGCCCAGCCAGCTCCCAGATACTTAAGGTGCTTGGTTCTGAGACTGGCATATACATTGGATTCTTCTTGGGGTCCCACCTTGGAATTCCAGTGCACAGCAGTTTGAGAACCACTGTCTGGGGTTCGTTCTTCTGTATGGGCTCCGGTAAGACAGAATAGTCCTTGCCTATAACTTGAGAGATAAAAGTGTATTTCTCTCCAGGCACTGGAGTCCAAACTCGCTTCCTGCCGGAACCTCGTGTACGATCAGTCCCCAAACCGAACAGGTGGCCCAGCCTCTGGGCGGAGCAGCAAGAACAGAGATGGTGGTGAGAGACGGCCGAGCAGCAGCAGCGTGCCGTTGGGCGATAAGGGGTCAGTACCTTCTAATAAACCTCTCGCTTGCGGGGAGAACCCGCCTGCCCCAGGCAAGAAACACTCACCCTCAACCCACAGCCATGTGTCTTTTTAAATGATAGGATTATTGTAGCAAACCTTATCCTCTCCTGCTCCCTGCCGGCAGCATTAGGTGGTGTCTTGTGGCTTGGACAAACGGCTGGAGAGAGGGTCTTGTTTTGTGAGACAGGGTCTCACTCTGTCACCCAGGCTAGACTACGATGGCAGGACCATGGCTCACCCTCTGCCTCCCGGCTCAAACAGTCCTCCCACCTCAGTCCCCTGAGTAGCTTTAAGTACAGGTGTGTGCCACCATACCCGGCTAAGTTGTTGTATTTTTTTCTAGAGACAGGGTTTTGCCATGTTGCTGAGTTTGGTCTCAAACTCTGAACTTGAAGCGATCCTCACCCTTCATCCTCCCAGAGTGCTGGGACGACAGGTGTGGGATACCATGCCTGGCCAAGAGGGTCATTTTTGTCATTTGATTCTACAGCTGCTACTCATGGTTACACTGTGAGAATGTCCTCTGTAAAACCCTTATTTGGGTCAGGTGTGGTGTCGCACGCCTGTAATCCCAGCAGTCTGGGAGGCCAAGGCAGGTGGATCACTTGAGGTCAGGAGTTCAAAACCAGTCTGGGCAACATTGGTAAGACCCCATCTCCACCAAAAAATAGAAAAATTAGCCAGGCATGGTAGCATGTGCCTATAGTCCTAGCTACTCGGGAGGCTGAGGAAGGAGAATCACTTGAACCTTGGAGGCAGAGATTGTAGTGAGCCAAAATTGTACCTCTGCACAGCAGCCTGGGCGACAGAGCAAGACTCCATGTCAAAAAGTTAGTAGTTAAATAAAAATAAAGCCCTTATTTGGGGAATTGAGCATCAATCACGGCTCTGCTTCGCCTGAAGATTTTTTTTTTTTTTTTTTTTGAGACGGAGTCTTTCTCTGTCGCCTAGGCTGGAGTGCAGTGGCATGATCTCAACTCACTGCAACGTCTGCCTCCCAGGTCTAAGCAATTCTCCTGCCTCAGCCTCCTGAGGAGCTGGGATTACAGGCGTGTGCCACCACGCCCAGCTAGTTTTTTGTATTTTTAGTAGTGACGGGGTTTCACCGTGTTAGGATGGTCTTGATCTCCTGACCTTGTGATCCACCCACCTCGGCCTCCCAAAGTGCTGGGATTACAGGCATGAGCCGCTGCAACTGGCCTTTTTTTTTTCCTTTTTAAATATGTAGAACCTTTGAGAAACTGGCACTAAGTTCTAGCCAGCCTATGTTCCTGAAACCAGCCACCCGATGGGGCAGTGCAGATCTGACCTCTAACAGTGTCATTGATTTTCTTGCCTAAAGGAAGTCAGAGCCAGGCACAGTGGCGCGCACTTGTAATCCCAGCGCTTTGGGAGGCTGAGGCCAGCAGATCAATTGAGCTCAGGAGGTTGAGGCCGCAGTAAGCCATGTTCCCAGCCACTGCACTCCAGCCTGGGTGATGAAGCCAGACTTTGTCTCAGGGGAAAAAAAAAAAAAAGGGGCAGCTTTCAGATTCAGGAATTCTGCAAGGTGTGTGACTGCCATCTCTCTGGGCCCCAAGCCATAGGAATTTGATGGGTTTGTAGCAGACACGTGGCAGGAAACTAAGAATCTTTTCCATGGCATGCACATAACTTTCAGACCTTTACACGTGGATTTTTAGGCCAGGTGCAGTGGCTGAGACCTGTAATCCCAGCACTTCAGGAGGCAGAGGAGGGTGGATCACTTGAGGCCAGGAGTTCACAAGACCAAACTGGGCAACATGGTGAAACCCTATTTCTACTAAAAATATGAAAATTAGCCAGGCATGGTGGCGGATGCCTGTAGTCCCAGCTACTCCGGTGACTGAGGCGCAAGAATCACTTGAACCCCGGAGTTGGAGGTTGCAGTGAGCCAAGGTTGCACCACTGCACTCCAGTCTGGGCAACAGAGTGAGACTCTTTCTCAAAAAAAAAAAAAAATTAATTTTTCTGGGGTTTTTTTTTTTTTTTTTCCCCTCCTACGAGACAAGGTTTTGCTGAGTCGCCCAGGCTGGAGTGCAGTGGTGCGACCATAGCTCACTGCAGCCTCATCTTCCTGGGTTCAAGCCATATTGCCTCAGCCTCCCAAGTAGCTGGGACTGCAGGTGCACACCACTACCCCTGGCTAATTTTTTTTATGTTTTATAGAAAGTCTTGCTATGTTGCCCAGACTGGTCTCAAACCTCCTGGCTTTGAGTTTGAGAATATACCTCTGAGACTGTAGTCTGCTTCTCATTGAGATTTCTAGAGGTGAGTTTTCTGGTTGGTTTTTCAGGCAATCCTCCCACTTTGGCCTCCCAAGCGCTGGGGGTTACAAGCATGAGCGATCATGCCTGGCCTTGTTTTTGAGACAGGGTCTCGCTCTGTCACCCAGACTAGACTGCAGTGGCATGATCTTGGCTCACTGCAACCTCCACCTTCTGGGCTCAAGCGATCCTTCCACCTCAGCCTCCCAAGTAGCTGGGACTACACATGCAGGCCACCACACCCAGCTAATTTTTGTTTGCATTTTTTGTAGAGACAGGGTCTCACTGTGTTGCCCAGGCTGTAAAATAAACAA